GCATAATAATGATAATAATCTCTATTTAAAATGACAAATCTATATATGCATAGAAAAAGACTAGAAGGACAAATAGCAGAATGCTGTCAGTGGCTATCTCTTAATATCAGTACAGAAGGACCTGAGTAACAGGACATTTTGTTCAATGTCATTTTGTTAGAATGTTGCTGAGATGCCACAGGAACTTAACTCTTGTTGTATATCAATTAGCCTATGGTAAAATGGGTTTCGTGATGCATTGTTTTGCTTAAAGTCACAGAACCTATCCACAGCATTCAGTCGGGACTTAATGTAATGGGATTTGGGGTGATGTTCACTTTCTGCTTTCATTTTTCGACAAAAGAATTTAAATATTGCCTTCAGAACCTTGAAAAAAAACCTAACAAATGTTTTTAAAGGAAAAAAGTGAAATTCATGCTCTGTGTAAATTCATTTATTTATTTGGTTTAGTTTTGTTACATCGGTGTCTCTATATTTTTTTAATGGGAAAGGGATTCATTTTTTCTATGACAGTCCTAGTATTCTGAGCACAAAGGAGACAGGTAAGGCTGAAGACTAGCCATTTGCCTAGAAAATGGATGCTGCCTGCATGGGGTAAATAAGTTTAAGGAGCCCCAGGGGAGACGTTGAAGGTTCCCAGGAGAGAATTAAAGACAGCTCCTAGTCCTCCTTTCTTTACCCCTAAATGACCCTGTACAAGCTCTCGAGGGTCCCTTGAAGGACCTTTTTTTCCTTCTCCTTAGAAGGGCTGAAATAAGCTCCAAGTTAATTTCGACAAAATTGGAAAAGATTAAAAAACTAGAGAAGAGTAACAAGTGCAACCTGCTGGGGAAGAGCAGAGACCGTCAATTTGGACATCTGAGCTGAAGCGCTCCCGTGGGCTGGTTCCCCTGCATCCAGGTTACATGCACCCACTCAGGACGGCAGGACCAGAGAGAAGGTGCCCATTGGGATAGAAATCATATTAGGAGTGTGCCACCATCAAACCAATGTATGTGCTCAACCTATGTCAGAGAATGATCCTTCTAGAAACAAGGAGCCTGAGACTTGAAGATGTACCTCTTGGGGCCTTATGTAGACTAGTCACATATGTGCTTATTTTCAGCCATCCAGAAAAACACATCTAAGTCACCATTTTTGCTTCTGTTAATCTGAAAAGATTCGAGGAAGTTTATATGGATCTACTTCACTGCTGGCACAACTTTTCAACTAAACTCTCAGGCTCTGCTGACACCTGCTGGCATTTCATCTATTTAATGTTAAAAAGAAATCAAAGCAAATGAGCAAAATGCTTAATGTATTTCCTACAGTGTTTTGGCCTTATTATACTAGGTGTACATTACCTGAAAGATAATCGAGAGAAGGAAAGATCAGATAGAACTTTTCCAGGTCATGGAGGGAAACCTGTAAACAGCCATTGAGTGAAAATATCCCGAATGTGAAGGGCAGACTACAGTGTTCATATTGCCTTTCAGCCCTGAGCCAGCAATCTGTGACCTTGGGCAAAGCCCTTGACCTCACTTTCATCATCACAAAGAGAATGAAGCAGCAACCTCCCTTCCAGGGTGCATTTGGACTTATGAGGACTCCAGTGGCATTTTCTCCTAACTTAGGCCTGGATGCTGTCACTGGGGTGATGACCTCAAAGGTCACTCTTAGGGACCTTTCCATCACAATAAACAAGATTCTTCACCAGCACTGTATTTTCAAACAATGGATAGAAGTCGTTGAAGACTCCTCAGAACCCAGCATCTCTGAAATCTGTTTCTAGAAATAACTACATTAGATTGATCAGAGAAAGCCAGTGAACAGTCTCAGAAATTGTCCATTTTTCTGTCCTAGGAAACCATGGACTTTGTTTTGTGTTTTGGAACACTCACCAAGCCTTCAGGTTGAGAAAATGCTTCTCAGTTATGCCAAATGAATTATTTGTGCTTTTTCTGTCTCCTCTTGGGAAACTGTGTGGGCCTGTGGTTTGTTAGACCAGTAACAGGATATTTGATAGTCCTTGGGGAGTTACAGTCCCATATTTAGCCTGACAGAGGAAGTGAAGTCTGATGATGAAAATAATTGAAGCTTTTCTTTAATGCTACTATTTCATTTCTTCCTCATCCCTCAGAATCCTGACCTCACTGTCATGCTTGTTGAAGATTTCAGTGCTGTTTACGGTCCTCAGAAAATGGCTTTTTCTAGTTGTGACAGGAAATTTACCCCTCAGAGTGGCTAAGTCCCCCTCAGAAAGCTGTTAGGTGTGATTAGAGTACAAAGAGGAAAGCAAAAACTCTGTGAGGTTCACATCCATTAGGATAGCTACTATCAAAAACATAAATAAATAACAAATGTTGGCAGGGATGTGGAGAAATTGGAACCCTTGTACACTGTTGGTGAGATTATAGAAATGCTACAGCCACCATGGAAAACAGTATGGTAGTTCTGCAAAGAGTTAAAAATAGGATTGCCATCTGATCAACAAGACCGTTTCTGGGTATATATCCAAAAGAATTGAAAGCAGGAACTTGAAGAGATATGTGTACACCCATGTTCACAGCAGCATTATTTGCAATAGCCAACAGGTGGGAGAAACCCAAGTGCCCATTAACAGATGAGTGGGTAAACCAAATGTGGTAATACAAACAATGGAATGTGATTTGGCCTTTGAAAGAAGGAGATTCTGACACATGCTACATGGATGTACCTTGGGGACATTATGCTAAGTGAAATAAGCCAATCACAAAAAGACAGACACTGGGCTGGCCGACTGGCTCGTTGTTTAAGAGCTGGCTTGGGAACGCGAGCCCTGAGTACTAGGGCCACCAGTTCGGATCCCACATGGGCCAGGGACACTGCCCTCTACAGCTAAGATGGTGAACAACAGCTCGACCTGGATTTCAGCTGCCATGAGTCGCCGGCGACGGCGTAGGCTGCAGTGGGGCAGCAGTGGGTTGCCATAAGCTACCGTGAGTGGCTGGCAGCCAGCATGAGTGGCTGGCAGCTGGCATGAGCTGCCGTGAGCCGCCGTAAGCTGCTGTCCAGTGGCCGGCGAGCAACTGCCTCACCCGGGAAGAGTGCAATGATAATACCAACATGGGCCAGTGAAGCGACATTCTCCACAATAGACTGAAGAACAAAAGGACAATGACTTGTCTGTTCCCCTTCCCCTATTCCCCAATGCTATTCCCCTCCCCCAATTCCCCAATAAAATCTTTAAAAAAAAGAAAAAAGAAAAAAGACAGGTACTATATGATTCTACTTATGTGAGGTACCTAGAGTAGTTAAATTCATAGAGACAGAAAGCAGAATGGTGGTTGCCAGTGGCTAGGGAGAGAAGAAAATGGGGAGTAGCTTAATGGGTACAAGAGGTTCAGAGTTTCAGTTTTGCAAGATGAAAAGAGTCTTGGAACTAGATGGTGGAAATGGTTACACAACAATGTGTATAGCAGGTAATGACACTGAATTGTTCACTTAAAAATGGTTGAAATGGTAAATTTTATGTTATATATATCGGGGGTGCAAAAAAAATGTGTATACATTTTAAGAGATGTTAATACTTTGGTCAAAGTTGCTCAAGCAGTAGTTCACCATAATCAGAAGTGTCTGGACGCTGATGGGAACCACTTTGAGCACCTCTTGTAATTGCAGAAGTCAAATGTGACTTATATTCACCTTTTGTTATTGGTATATATTAATATAGTTTTTCCTTTCTTAAAATGGGTATACTTTTTTTGACACCCTCTGTATTTTACCACAATTAAAATTAAAACCACACACACACACACACACACACACACGAACTCTGTTATTGTTCCTGGCCCTTACAGTGACTAAATCATTTGACCGTGTTAAACCTGGTAATTCTGTGTTGGGCTGTCCAACAGAAACTTCTGTGGTGATGGACATGTTCTTTATTTGCACTGTCCACTATGGTAGTCACTAACCTGGTGCTGGGTTTTGAACACTTAAACTTAAACTAGTCTAATGGAAGCACTGAATTTTATTTTTATTCATTTCAAATTGGAATAGCCACGTGTGGCTAGTGGCTACCATACTGGAGAGTGCAGGTAGAATGAACGTCTACATTACTATCTTTTCCAAAATATTTTCCTTTCCCAGCCCAGAGCTTCAGCAGGCAGACCCATAAACCAAAGAAGGTAAGGTACTGGCTTGTCTGGAGGTCCCAGTTCTGTTCTAACTTTCAGTATTAATTTGGTACAAAGCATTTTGCCAAGAGTGTGATTCTTTGTTTTAGCAACGGGGTTTGGCATTCATTGGCACAGTGATTGGACCCATGGAGAGAGTTGGCCTTAACTCACAGGCCAGGCTTTTCTTGTAAAATGCCCTTTAGAGACCCAAATTCCTTTACGGCCATGCACAACCTTCCTTTACTTTTCCTTGTAAATCCATGTGGTGATGTTATGAACTAAAACTGAGGTCTGAGTCCTTATACAGAAATTATGTAAGCACACTGCTGTTTCCTCTGGGCACCCTGGCGATCAGTGCATGTTTTGCTTTTTAAGGCTTTGCTGGAAAACAGACAGGTAAGACATGTAACAAACCCTTGGATTGAAATAAAAATCACTCAATAAAATTGATGAACCCCTAAGGCATTCATCATCTAAAATAGGAATCGCTAAATATGTCATCTTGTAATGTATCATGTTGCTCAGAAATTATGAAGACTGCCAGTGACTGAAAGGGGGCTTATATTTAAATAGGCTGCAAATAGAAGGCTTACCAAGTCAATCAGTGGCAGCATTCCTTTGTGACAACCCAGGGTTTAATGATACTATGGATGCCACATTTATCTTCATGAAAAGAACGAAAGCTGTTTATTAAAGAATAAAATATGAGCATGCAAAATGAAGATGGCTGTGTGGAAGGAAGGGGATTAAAAAAAAGAGTTTACGTTATTATTACACAGAATGGATACAGGCTATCTAATAAAAACCATGTCTAGCTCCAGCAGATTTTCTCACCAGGAACACTTTTTCTTTCTTTTTCAGCAATGGGTAGATGGCCTGAGATCAATCATACACAACTTCAGGGCCAACAACGTCAGTCCAATGACATGCCTCAAGAAACAGTGAGTTTTGTTTACATCCCCCTTTGTTCGTGGCTGTGCTCAAGCAAATGGTCAGATTAGAATATGAGGCTTAGTATGTGTCCAGGCAACGTCTTGCTTGCCTTCCCCTCCATGCTCCTGACCTTGAAGAGGAAGTTGACCAAAACACACCTGTACTCTTCACGTCACCCAGCAGGGCATGTGTGATAAACCCACAGCCCAAAGATAGTATGAAAAGAATGGTTGATGGCAAACCTCAGCTTTCCTCCCATCCCTCCACCCCCCGCAGCATCCTCTGGGTTGTGGGCACTGGCTTTTGTGTCCTCAGACTGAGTCTGCTGATAAATAGCTCTGTGTACCTGGGGCCACAGTTGGGTGCTGTTGTAGTTGGGCCGTGTTGTGCTCATGCCTCTGCTGCATGAGACTGAGAACTGGGCAATGTGGCCAAGAGAAGCACTTGCAAAAGCATCCATTGCTAGGGTTCCAAAGGGAGCACTGGCCTCAGGGACTGTGTACCACACAATCAGGGACCCAAAGGGACTTTTGAAATTCAGAAAGCAAGCCTTACCCCAGCTCGCGGTATCCAAAATTCAGGGGGATACTGCGTGGTAGATTTTAACCTGGCCCCAGTCATTTTTTCAAGGTGACATGAAAGTGCCTCAAGTAGAAACCATAGCGAGAGCCAAGGCCAGATTGAAAAGCAGTGATCCACGGAGGAGCGGGGCCGCCTGCCATCACAGGCCCACTGGTAGGCAGTTGTGAGGTGCAGAAATGAGCCACATTGAGAAACTGCAGTCATGACCCTGCATGTCTCAACCAGGCCCAACACCAAGGGTGCAATTCCTTAGACTGCCAGGCAGTGGGAAGAGAGGCCAGTCCTTCAGGCACTTTCACTCCTTTCTTCTGGTCCCTTTAGCAGATGGTTTAAGAGTGTAGGCTCTGGGCTGTAACTCCCAGCTTGGCCATTCTGCCTTTCCTTTTCCTCTGCAGTAGTGGTGGCATGTTTCCTCAAAAGTAAAGAGCAACCCAGAAGACATTTTAATGTTATGACTTTGGGCACTGATGAGTCCCAAAAGTTCAAAGACTTTTGGAATGCCCCCTGACATCTGAGTGACCCACATACCCATATCTAGACAGCAGGTCTGATCTGCCCCTGTTGCTGTCCTTCCCAGATCCCTGTATGAAGCTGGTGTTCGCCTATTCACCAGCTGTCATGAGGGTTAGCTCACCAGGACTCACACCTGCCCGCTTCCCCAGAGAAGTGCTCTCTGCCAAAGTGGAGTCGCTGTGCCTGTGAGATTATTCTCTTCCCTCCTCCTGGGGGAAGCCTATGGCTAGTGATGAGCTGAATCAGGGTACAAAAGGCCAGCCTCCTTGCCACCAAGTCTGGTGTAAATCGTGCCCCAGAGCTTCCCGGGGCATCAGGCCAAAACTCCAGCTGAGACCACAACTTTGCATAACTACTCTTGCTGCCCTATCTGCTTCCCTTCACTCCTGTGGTTCTGAAAACATCCCCTGAATGTATTGTCAGTCACTTGTGCTCCTAGGAAACTTGACCTAAGACAGAAACTTCACCAAATTTCTGTTCTGCAGATAGTTAGAACAGCATTGACTGGAAACAAGGAGAATGGGAGTCTTAGCTAAGAATAGTCCTAGCACCAATGTTCTGGGTCCCCACGTGTCCTGAAAGCCTAGGTAAAGCAAGGAGTTGCTCACCATCCATTTGGATTGATGAACCTCTCTTACCATTAGAAATTAAGGAAGGTGCCCATTTGATCTGTACTTCACTGCACTGGGAGGTGGGAGTTGTGGGGGAGGGGGGATCCCCATGAGTCCTCTGTCAGTTGCATTTCTCATCGCCTTAGTAGATTATTAAAGAGCAAGAACCACAGAATACGTACTGACGATTTGTTTTCCTCAGCACAAGCACCCAATTTGCTAATTCATCTAGGGTGGCCAGATTAAATATGGACTCCCAGTTAAATCTGAATTTCAGATAAGTAACAAATACATTTTTAGTATAAATATGTCCTATGCATCTTTGGAACATACTTATAGTAAAAAAAAAAATTGTGTGTTGTTTATTTGAATTCAAATTTAACTGACAGTCCTGTATTTTCATTTGCAAAATCTGACAACCATAAATTCATGTCGCAGGGTATAACTATGTCTGGTTTTCAGAAGAAATGGTCTTTGTTTGAATGAATGATCTTGTCAACTTCTCATCTGGATGGAAGTGTTCCTCCTAAGAGATATTAAAACACTGTTGTCACTTGTTTTCCAGCTGGATGAAATTGGCATTTATGACGAACACAAATGGTAAAATTCCAGTTAGGAGGTAAGTCTGTCATTCCCGTGTGCCCTCCACACCCTGTGTCAACCCTCATGACACCAGAGCAAAGAGAGAGCTCTCCACAAGCACTTGTTCACTGCTTTAACAAAACAAAAATTTCTGGGAGCATAGCTTGAATCACTTCATCAAATGCCGTGTTCAATTTGCATTTTTCTTCAGAACAGGTAGTAGCATCAACTCTACTCTCATAAGTTAAAGAACATTGGAAAATGTAGCACTATTTTTTATAAATCTTCAAATAGGTGGATTTTTTTTTAACTAGGCAAAGAACTTTATTAACCTTTGCTTCGAACTTTATTCCCAAGCTTCTTCACCTTAATTAGCTGCAAAGAATGATTTGTGTATAAGCAAAAACTGAAAAGAGCTGCAGTGTCCAAGGGGCTTGGGCTTAAAAATATTAGAGATTGAGATTTTATCAGATCCATGAACAAAATTTTAAAAAGCAGTCATAATATAAAATAGCAGCTCCCAGTAACGTCTTCAAGTTTTATTTTCTTCAGGAGTTGACTCAGTTCAGTTTGCTTCATTCTCGGAAGCCTCATCAAAATTCTCCACAAGATGTGGAACTTCACCATCATCCTCCTCTCCGGTAGCAAGTGGTGCTTTTCCATCCACAGATTGTTCGGGCAGAGCTTCAGCCCGTCTCCTTAAACTAGTCAGACTGTCTGCACCAAGCTGGTTTAAGATGCTGGGTAGCATTTCTGTCAGCTGCTTGGTCTCAGCGTGGCCTGTGATGGTGAAAGTGTTCGCTGCCAGAGAGGCTTGAACTTTAGGGTTGTTAAAGTGGATCACTGTTCCTTGGTTTGTGAACATAGTCACCTCTTCAATACCAGAGATATTGTTTACCCCTAACTTCTTTAAGGAGAACTGAAGTTTTTTATCATCTGCTGTAGCTGTTCTGTGAACCACCTTCTTCTTTCTGCGAGCAGTTCCTTTCCCACCAATGTGCACTTGTGCCTGCAGTTTGGCGAGTTTCTCCTGGTTCATGATAGTTTCTTTCATCTTGTTGGAGAGGAAACGGGACCGCGCGGGGGACTAGGGTTGGCGCTCAGGGGGTCTTGGGCAGACCAGCTGAGAATAGACGCACACACGCAGGCAATAGGTGGACTTTTAAGGTTTCAATGTCATTTACCTACTTGCCCTGAGCAACCATTGGCTAAAATTAAAGAAGTTGACATCGTGTACCCATGGTGGAAGTGTGTGGGCTGTGTCTTAGGAAGGTGATACCCCTGGACCACGCAGCTCATTCTTTGCTGCCCCTCTGGTACCCAGGGTGTTGGTCCCCTTTGTTTTCTGGTCGCTTGCTCTCTAGGTAGACTGTCACTAACAGCACACAATCTTCAGGGCCATCAGCTCCTCATCCTGCCCAAGGTAACAGTGAACAAGGGGGAATATGGCAGTAAAGCTTGGGTGGAGTCAAAAGTGAAGAGAACATGAACCAGATACATCCTCTGCACGTGTTCTTTGATACTTACTCTGATGTCTTTACCCTCCGAGGAGTCCTCACACTTCCCTCCTTGTTGCCTTTCTGCTCCCTTAAGGCGTTAGTGTTGCTAATGGTTTCTGGGTACTGTTAGAAGCTCTTACAGTGGTAGTGATGGTATTCTTTACCACACTCTCTAGTATCACTTTGGTTGGTGTTCATGTCAGCACTTTTTGGAAAATTCCAGAAGCTGGACTGTCCCCCAGTGGATCTGCTGTCCACATGAGGCCAGGAGTGTATTTGGATTCATGAACCTAAGCCCACAACCTTAATCAAACACAAGTTCCCCAGATACTAACCCACTCTTCTAGGAATCTCCAGCCTCAGGTTCACGTTGACTTCTTTGGACGTCCCGTTAGCAAAGACGCCCATCAGCAAACAACAACAAACAAAACTGAGAGCTACAAGGAATTCACCCCTGGTGTAGCATTTGAGTAGACATACTTGATTAGCAGTGGCACGTTGATCACATGGGGCCATTCTTACTCTTCTAGGCCTCCCTTTTTGCTCGGCCACTCCATCCTGTTCCAAGGCTTCCATTCCGCATCTCTATGAGAGTATCTTCAGACTCCCTCAACATTATTCTTTTCACATTTCACAGAATTGGTCTAGAGGTCATCACATCCCTTAATTCCATGTATTATAACAACCATGAACTAAAGTATCCATGTGACATAAGTGAAAGATCAATGAGAAAATAAAAAGCATACAAATCATAAAAAACAACCTTAAGAAGTATTCTTTTTATTTAAGCTTTTATTGAGAGCTTGCCGGGTTATAGACCTCATTTGTTGTGGTCTTTACAAATCTATATGTAGGACTCTCTGCTTTTTATTTAATAACTTGCTGGCAAGTTAATTTTATGCCTACTTTCCAGTTTAATAAAAAGCCCTGTTAGCATCCTTGGCTGATGGTTGTTGGCATAGTCACTTGACACTGATCCTTATTTTATTTAAAATGCTTTGCTATGTTGAGTAATAGCAGGACAATTATTTTAATATATCCAAGCATCCTGCAGCTATTGCAAAATATATAGTACATGTTTATTGAAAATTAGTATTGAAGTAACAAGTCCAAACTTAGAGAACACCGATAGCAGTGTAATCTGTGTTACACTGATATAAGTTGGGTCCGTTTTTACATATCTTACTCTCCTGCTTTTTCTTCCAAGATAAGATTCAGGAAATGGACAAAGTAGAAAATGCATAAATTGTGATCAGAGCATTTATATAATAACTGGCAGCTCTGGTTTCATTTGTATGTATCCTACTAATCAAGCTGTTCTTATAGGTGCTTGGAAGCCTTTTCCGATTCCAAACATCTTTAGCATAGTCACATTACAAAATGATTCCCTTTTTGTATTTTAGAAATAGCCTAGATATTTTGTCATCTTCCATAGCTCTCTTGGACATGAGCTCTTTGATTCCTGCCAGTATTAACAGGTGTTGGACACAAGACATCTGTGATTCGGGGGCAGTTTATTAGAGTTGATGGAGAATTGATACCATGCCAGAAAAAAAGCAGATAAATCTCCGGGTGGATGAGCTGCCAAGGGCTAGGTGGAAATTGTTCTGAATGTTTTAATGGATATAAAGTAAACATTTTAAAAATATCATTTCATCACTATCATTCTGGAGTTTTTAAAATGGAAACTATTAGTATAGTGTGCATAATGTGAAAGGGGCCCTGGCTTCATAGTTACAGCTTGGGAATGGCCTCTGCCCTTTAGCATTCACCAAAATTTAATATCCAGGAAGTTTCAGGAATGATGAATGAGGAAAGTCTTACCCTTTATCTCCCTCATCTCTTTTCTTTCTACGTACGTAACCTTACGCAGCCTGTCTTTCTCTCAAACTTACAAGTCACACTCAATTTATCAGATCAAAGCGTTGGATGTCACTCTTTTCCTTCACCATCTTCCTCCCATTCCTTGTAACCTGGAGTTGGAACCAATGGCTCGAGACTTGGGAAATGACAGCCAGACAATAATTGTGGGCTAAGGCTGGAAGAAATCTAGAAGGGGACAGTTGTGTTAAAGAAGGCTGAGACCTCAGGTACGATCGTGGCAGCCCAACTCCTATGCAGTCCATTTGTGTCCTGAAGGCTTAGCCTGCCTACGAGGAGGGTCTGGTTCTGCTAGGGCTTCACTTTCATGAGGCCTCTCTGACTATTTCAGAAGATGGCTAAAACCGTTAGACTGTAGACTCTTTGAGGGCAGCCAGAAAGGGAGACTGCCTTAGTTTCTAGGATCGCTGCTGTCTTAGTCACCTGTAACGTACCCTAGAACATGGAATCTAACCAGGATTCTGATAGGACTGGATACCACTGAAGGGTATTTGCTTTTATAACATTTCCTTTGGGAAAGGTGGTTTTTTTGATTCAACAAAGACTCATCGAACACCTAATAGCTATGAAGTACTAAGCTATGCTCTGTTGGCATGACGCGGTATATAAAGAGTTGACTAAGTCATAATCCTTCATAAATGCTCTCCGTTTCCATGGATTGTCCCAGGGTAGTGTCTAAAATGTCCCAGCCTGTGATAAGTTATGTTTCTCTCAGGACCCCGGTTAAATGGAATTCTGCTGGGCCTCTGATGCAACTGGAAACTCAAAGAATTCCCCTTTACTCTACAACCTCCCCTGCACCCTAGGCGAATCCGTTTTAAGGCCCAAGAATGATTCCAAAAGCCGCCTGAAGCAAAGGCAATACAGGCACCACCCAAGGGAATGGTCTGTTTGACTTCCCCGCTCCTGTTTTCCACCCTGGGTTTGGTCTCTTTTATATTAATAATGAGGTGCGCAAATCTGTGGTGAGGGAACCTAGCCGAATCCTCTCATGAAAAGATGGGCCTGAGACTGAGCCCCTCTGGCCATCATGCCACTTCTGCCTTGATTAAATCTTATGTGCAGTCAGGTCATTGGGCTCTGACTTTGCCCTCACTAGTATATTCCTGAATGGATTTCCCTCTGTGTTGGCACTAGACACCCTATTTTCTCTCTCAAGTTCTTTTTCTCCCACAAATGCTTAGACCTCCTATTCCCATGAGATGTTCCTGTTCTACCTCCTATTTCTTGCCTCTTCACCAAGCCCTAGCCAAACAATTCTATCCCTGTGCACTCTTCCTTTCCTCCCTGTCCCACCCCCTACCCAACACCCGGAAAGGCTCAGGCCCTCTACATTCATGACCGTGTCAGTCACTTGTCATCTCCTTTGCCAGGCCTATTCAAACCTAAGAGAAGCTCAAATTAGCTGAGATACTGCTAATTTGCTATGCAAAGAGTTTCATCCTGATTACAGGTATCAGACATCCCAAATTCTGCTGGGGACCCGTAGCTCTCTCATTAACACATGCTTTAAAAACAAAAAAATACACACTGAATAGCTACTTTCCCCCAATATTATAAAGGTCAGATAAATTGCTTCTCAACCCCATTTAATGCATAAAATTTCCATGAGCTCTGGAGAAGTGGGAAAAATGTGGAAATAGCACCCTCTACACTAGAAACCGTTTTACTTGATGTCAAACACATGCGCTCTACCATGTGTGTAGATTTGTTAAAGAGAATTCATAGGCCTCCCTATATTTGAATATAACTGTCTCACAGAGCTCTTTAAAAAAGTATCTCTTGAAGCAATTCTTGGATGGAGTATGAAACAATAACGCTTTGAATGAACACATAGCAATTCATTTACTTAAACCCGTTCTTCTGAATCTATTTTGGGAAGTTGTACTCTGCAGTTGAAGTGGTACTTTCTCCTACTTATGAAGAAGATTAACGGGCAGTCAGTGCTTACATTCGGAGCTTGCCTTCCACTTAACCTGAATGGTGGAGTGCATGACAGGGTTGGGACTGCGGAGGCGCTGTCACAAACCCTCATGCTCACAGGGAAGGCATTCTACAATCGAGCCTCACAGAGGAAAGTAAGCTCTACAAGTGGAGGCTGGACTTCTGATTGAGAGTTGAAGTTTCTATGGTGACAGATTACCATTCAGGGAGTGACTGGAGGCTCCTTTGGGTGGCTACAGGATGGCTCACAGCCAAGTGTGGGTTCCAGGATACCAAGCCCTCTCCTCAATACCCTTCATTCTCAGAGTCACCCATATATTGATCATAAGGAGTATCTTTTTTCCTGCGTTTATCATCATTAGAAAATGTGCGCATACTAATTAAAAGGCAGCCCATCGTTGTTCAAAAATACCATGTTTTAGGGGAGTGCCAAGATTCTGGTGAAAGACTGAATAATCGTTTGCCTGCCTCCCGTCTCTCCCACACCTATCACTTTCGTAATAAACTGCCCTATCCCTGAGGCAGCTGACATTTCAGAGTAGCTCAAGGGTACTTAGCTAGAAAAACAAACAGACAAACAAACTATGCCTGATAATGCATGTCAGCAGCAGTGTGAAACCAGGGTAAGGAGATTCAGAGTCATGGGCTGAGTTCTGAGGGGCCCCCTTTGGTTTGTCAAGGCTAGATATGGTCAACATGAGGTTTTATTCTAGAGCTACTGTCCCATTTGCCACATTCCTTTTTCCTAAGAAAGAAATTTGGTAGCATCAAAATGTATCATTGTTTTTGCCCAGCGGTACAATCCCCCAGTGCCCCTTGTATTCACAAGCACCCCGGGGGGGGGGGGGCGTCGGGGCCTGTCTTAGAATCAAGTTGCCTCACTAGCACAACCAGCTGGTGACCATGGGAACATTGCAGGAGCTATTTTGAGAAGTGAAAAACACCTAGAAATGAGAAGTAATTTTATTCTCCTTTTCCTTCTCCCCCTATCCCACCATCCCTAGTATTACTTGGATCTTTGCATCAGAGAAAACAGAATTAATTAACAATAACATTTTTTTTCCTTTCTTTTCTGCCCTAGTATTACTAGAACCTTTGCATCGGGGAAAACAGAAAAGGTGATTTTTCAAGCACTCAAGGAGTTAGGTCTTCCCAGTGGAAAGGTATTCATTAATTTCAGAATGTGTTTCTAAAACAATTTTGTTTATTTCTGTTCTCCTATGTAATAAGCCAAATTATTTATATTAAATTGATCTCAGTTAGATTCAGAATTAGATTCAGTCACATATAGTACAGTTACTTTTCTTTTCATTCACCTTCCTCCTTCCCTCCTTTTGTTTTCTGGGCATTTTAATCTCAGTGTTTTCAAATTCAGATAGTGTACTTCAAAATGTTTTTTTTCAACTTGATTAAGAAAAGGAAATGACTCTTTTACACAGTTTATGGAAAGCTTATTTCAGGGCAGCCCATCAACACTGCCTCACCCAAGCACAATGTCAGCATGAATAACTGACTACGAAATTCAGTTCTTCAAGATGGCTGTGCTGTATTTGATGAAGCAGCTCTCCCCACACAAACCATTTGTGTTTTGTAAAATCACTGAAATGAATTTACTGACTACAAGAAAGATTGAAGCCTAATGCTGCTTTAACAAATCCTATTTGCATATTTCAGTATGCAAAGTAAAATCGTACAGGGTTGTACTGAGCCCCTTTATATGTTCTTGTGACAATTCACAAAATAAGCAAAGTAAATTTTGGGCTTCATTTATTCAGCATCCTTTAAGCAGGCACTTGTTTTTCTTTCTTAAGTTGAGAAGAAGGAGATGTTTCTTGATATTTGTTCTATGGGGTGTTTCCTAGAGCAGGACCAGCGGTAGCTGAGGTTTGAACACACAAACCATGGCTGCATGGTAACTAGAAATGCTCATTTCCATATACTGTGTTCCAGTGAACGGCCTGGCCCAGGCTGGAGGTTGGCCTTCTGGCTTCTGACTGCAAGAATCAGAGATGAAGGTCCTAGGATCCCAAGTGGTCCTTGCTTCATGATCCTGTAGATTCTTCCCCTCCAAGGTGAAAATATGTTTCCTGATTTATGACACGCTTTTATTCTTTCCAGAATGATGAAATTGAGCCTTCAGCATTTACTTATGAAAAGTTCTATGAACTCACACAAAAAATTTGTCCTCGGACAGATATAGAGGATCTATTTAAAAAAATGTAAGTTCCATTTATGAGACGGTGCCCTATCGATGTTATCCTTGTCCTTTTAGATAAAACTTTTTTGGTCGTAATATTTGATTGTAGTGTGTTGACAGTATCTAGGCATATCTAGTTAGGGTTATATTTTCACCCCCTTAGTTTATCTGTGTAAAAGTTCACTCTGAGTTTTTGAGAAGCTTTTACACAGGTGAGTGGCAGCACCTGGAACTTTTTTTTTCCCCCTTGCATTGGCTTTACTAACTACCTACAATTTTAACCTGCTCCTTTAGGTATTAACCCATTATGTGAACTAACTAGATGCAATTTGGAATGTTATTATGTTGTTAAAAAGTTCATTCATTCCAGTTATCTCAAATGGATGACTTACATGTTGTTGTTTTTTAAGTAATGTCTTTTGATAACGCTAACGAGGAACTGCAGACATGTTCTGTGAGCTAGTGGGAATGTTTTCTTTCCTTTGCTGTTGTTGGGTTTTTTTTTGTGTTTTGTTTTGTTGGTTTTTTGTTGTTGTTCTTTACAAGCAGTCTCTGGCCATTTTAAGAATGCACCACTACCTCAGGGTTAGAAAATAAGTTTAGAATTATCATCAACAAATGTCAACATGTAAATCGTACCTACTGTAGCATCATATACCAAAACTTACTTTTTCTAATAAATTTCTTTTCAGCAATGGAGACAAAACTGATTATTTAACGGTAGACCAATTAGTGAGCTTTCTAAATGAAGTAAGCTTTTTCATACATTAACTCCATAAAGTCTGTGTGCAGTGGCTTGCCTCCTCCAGCGTCCTCATTGCATGCCCGCATCATATGCCCTCATTTGCTTTGCTTCTGACCTGCCAATCTTTCCATTATAGCTTTACCAGGTGCAAAAATCAGCTGCTGCCCTTGTGTGTTCATGCACTCCCTACACGTTGGCTTTGCACACTGCTTTTCTGTTGGTTTCTTGCTGTGATGTGTCGCTCCGGTTCTGTGTGTGTGTGTGGATTTTATATATTCATTTAATTAAATGTGTCTGTGTTTTTGCAAGACGATATTTAAGGTACTTACTTTTTTTTTTCTATTGATCTCATTAAATAGAAAGAGAATGGATTGAATTTACCCCCATTGTAGTTGGATTCTCCATTGCTAACATTTTCTCATACCTCTGCATGGACTGGAAAGCTTTATTTTTGTCTTTTAATGGATTGCATGTAAGAAAAAATATGTAGGTTCAAATAGAATATTTTGAGAATAAGCATAACACTGGAGTTCCTGGGTGAAAATATAATACATATTAGGCCAATGGGGCTGCAGGTTAAATTTTTACTTTTTATTTTTATAACATCCCCAGAGCTAATTTTAGAACATGATTCACTTAACAAGCAAAACCAGTTGGCAACATTTGCTTAAGTACAATAGAAAAATATTTTAGAGCAAGTAAAAATTGCAACGTGCATTCCAACTAAAATTAACTTTTTTTTTATTTTACATGTACAAAAAAAAAAAGGTGTTTTCTCTTCAATGAAACTCACTGAAACTCTTACTAAATCCCAAAAGGGAAGTTTACTTTTTTTTCCCAACACATTAATAATAAGAAGAGTTTAAGTGAGGAATGGACAATATATTTTTGTTTCAAAACAATTTATGTTAGCCGTTATACTATATAATGGGAAAACGTTACAATAGACAGTATCATGCCAGGTACGAGGTCTTGCCTCAAAAAAAGACAACAGGCAGACTGTGATTTGCCAGTTTTAGAGACAAATCACATCTTTGCCATAGGGCTTCTATTTTTTTCTCTGCCAGGGCTCAGCGATTTCCAACCTGTAGGGTTGCACTTTAGAAGCTATAGTAACCAGAGCATAAAGCACCGATGCAGGAAAGAGAAGGTACTCTATATATCAGCACAGATGCCCCCACTTTTTTTTTTTTTTTTTAAGCAGAGCCATCCTGCCACCTGTTGGCAGCTCAGTGGCAGTTCAGCTCAGGCCGTGAATCGAACCGGTGACCATGTTGCTCAGAGCTCACACTCTTGAGAGAGCTCTTAGCCAACTGAGCCACTCGGCCGGCCCGCCTCCACTTTTAAATGCGCCTGTCAGTACAATACAATATTTTAATTGAAAACATTTTAAGTTTTTCCACTCCACTAGGTTTTGGTCATGTGAATATTGTATTCATAATCTTTACCCAGATATTATCCACATTCTTACGCCACTGTTGCTCAGAAGTTAAATTGCCTTCCTTTGTTTCCTTAACCCCTTTCTCCTTTCTCTTCTTTAGAAAAAAGTTATTGTTTTATTTCCCTCAGCTTCTTCATGCATAGTAGGTCATTGATCATCTTAAGTTGTGCTGAGATGGGCAGGAATCTTGCTTTCTACCAAAGAGGGAAGATACTTTAGTGGGTGGAGAAAAATCTACCACATCATCAATTTGCCACTTCCTAAAAAAAGACCTCCTGTGCACTCCGGGAGGAAGCTGGCACCCAAGACATCTATTAAACACTACAGAGGCCTTAATATACATTTCTCTGTGCAAATAAAGATAATTCTGAAGTCTGAGGATAGGTGCTGCATTCACGGGCTCTTATTTCATGCTTCCTTTTATAGATTGTTTTCGTAGGCCTACCCAGTAATCACCCTTATCATTCTTATACATCCAAGACATATCAACATTGAATTTTAAAAAGATATGATCACCCCTACTTTCTTGTTCTGCCATCCAAATTCTTTCTTAAAATACTTACTATTTGATAAGGTTTTGTCCATCACTATTACAGTAACCAGTAGCACTCATTTGTTATTTATGCTTCCTTCTGTTTGGCTTCTCGCTAACCGTAGGGAAGCACCTTTAATTTGGGGGTGGGACTGATGGAGTCAGTGTGACTTTATATTGATTGCTTTAGGTCACAGAGACTACAGAAAAGTGTACAGCCTTTATTTTTAATCAAAGTGTCTGTCCCGAATCTCTTCCTTGTCTATTGTAGTGAACTGAACTGTAAGAGCTAGACAGAAATCTTTATGTGTCCTTGAAGAAGCTTTGTCAGGCGTAGGGAACTTCTGCCAGGTCCTTGCACCCTCTCTTTTGAATCCTCCGGTTGCCCCATCATCTCTCTAAAATCAAAAGCACCCAATATGCAGAATTGCCTTCAAAACCCATAAGAAATGAGACAGAGTTCACTCAAGAAGGGAACAGGCATTGGGATGCAAGAGTCTGTGAGTCCAAAAGCTTAGACCCAAACGTTTTCAAGATGCCTTAGCCACATAATCTCAACAAGCCAGAATTCAATTGTGTTAGAAGCCCTGGATCATTCAATAAGACTAGGAAAAATAAATACCGTATTTTTCCATGTATAATGCACACCCACATTTTTGTCCCAAATTTTCAGGGAAAAAAAAAATCTTTCGTTTTAATTTGTAACTCAGATATTTAGTGGTTTACATTTAGGTACTTGTTTTTTGTATTTTAAAGAAATTTTAGCATTTATTTTTTAACATGTTTTGGCACAAGAAAATTTTTTTTTTTAAAGATTTTTATTGGGGAATTGGGGGGATGGGAACAGTGCTCGGGAATTGGGGGACGGGGAACAGACAAGTTGCTGTCGTTTTGTTCTTCAGTCTAGTTGTGGAGGATGTTGCTTCACTGGCCCAAGTTGGCACTATCACTGTGCTCTTCCTGGGCGAGGCAGATCAGTCACCGGCTTCTGGACGGCCGCTCACTGCAGCTGCTGTCCGCTCACGCTGGCTGCTGGCTACATACGGTAGCCCATGGCAACCCACTGCCACAGGGGCTGCAGCCTACACCGTCGCCGGCGACTCAAGGCAACCCAGCTCCAGATTGAGCTGTTGTTCAGCATCTTAGTTGTGGAGGGCAGTGTCACTGGCCCTCATATGTGGGATCCGAACCGGGGCCCTCTGGCATCCCAAGCCAGTTCTTAACCATCGCGCCACTCGGCCGGCCCATGGCACAAGAAATTTTATGTAACAAATAATTACAAAACACAAGAACAAATACAAGGTATAAGAAATTTTATGTACTGGTAACAAATTTACAATATTTACACATCATAAAAGGCCAAGAACTTTCCATCATTGCCAAGTTCATTGTAAATTCAACAAAACTGATTATCATATTCCAGGGCATTATTTTGCATATAGATATCGTGATTGATTTCTAGAGTTACACTTTTAACCCTTAAGCATAAATAAAAGAATTAAAAACATTTATATAGATATGGAATTAGTACTACCCATGTATTATATAATGCATATCCTTATTTTTCCCCTCATAAATTTGGGCCCCCAAAAAAGTGCACGTTATACACAGCAAAATACGGTACTGTAAATTCCATGAACATGAAAGAACAAGCCCATATTCTCATTATTTGCAGATGATGACTGTATATCCTGAATAGTAAAAACTATCAACTGAAAAACTCTTTGAATAAATAAGAGAGTTTAGCAAGGTAACCAGAGAAATGATCACGAAAGCAAAATCAATAGACACATGTACACCAGCATTAACCAATTAGAATAGGTAACGGAAAAAAATGTCATTTCTATTGTACAAGCCATGCTGCCTTCCACCATTTCCAGCTTGTAAATCCCCTTGCTCTTTATATGAAATTTTTATATGAAATAGGAAACTGGAAGGAGAAGAGGAGAGGCAATGGGCCGTTTACTGGCTTGGTTGCCATGTGAGGGTTTGTACCACCTCCTCCCTATCCATGCCATGGACACTGACTAGCTTTTCACAGTAGCTTTAGCCCTGCTCCTCCTCTGCTTCTCAGTATCTCCTTGTTCATTGTTCCCCAAGGTGTGGTCTGTGGACCAGCAGCACAGGCGTCCTCTGGGAGCTTGTTAGAAATGCAGAATCTCTGGTCCCACCCAGACCTACTGAGTTGGAATGTGCACTTAAAAAGATCCACAGGGGGTTTGTCAGCGCAGTATATTTTGTGAAGCTCTGTCCTGGTGCATTCCTAGGGTTCCTCCTTGGAACGCTTGGTGTGAACGGGAAGAATGTGAGACCAGCACATAGCTTCCGGTATTCGCCATAATGAATTTAGTCCTGGGAATCCACCAGTCAGATCTAAAATTTTGCCACCGCTACGGGTCTTCTTTCCATCCAGTAGACTGAGGGAAACTTTCTTTGCCTATATTATAAAAATAGCAAACTCGGGTCTAGGAGAGCTGGTGGAGGCACTCACTGCCAGCTGCCTCATGGTTAGACACTGCTACAACTCAGTTCTCTGTATGTGGCAGGACTAAGGACAGTATCTGGGCTTCAGTTAGTTTCACCTCTCTTTTCCTGTTCCCAACAAAAAGCTAAATTGGTTTTCATTTTAGCTTCATCCTCTATTTGACTTCTTACAAAGATGATAACAATCTAGGTTCTGCAATATTGAGAGATGCATAGAGAACAAGAGAGAAAGATCAAAAAAGGAAAAGAAAGAAAGAAAAGAAAAAGATCTTACATATCCATAATGATAAGGAATAAGCTTATTTTCTTGTTGCTGGTAATCTTCCCTGTGCATTACATATATTACATCATCACATTAGGGCTAAACCTCATTTTTAAAATTTATTTATTTTTTATTTATTGTTCAGTTGAAAGAATATAAGAAAGGGCCCACAATCTCTTTCCATTTACAATATCTTTATTCTTTAATTCCTAGGCAAAGAGAGAGAAGGAAGTATTTAGGTTCATAAGGAAGCCTCCCCTTGCCATTTATTCCTTTATTTTCTTTATCTCTTTTGAATATTATTTATGTCAACATCTATCTCGGTGCTACTTGGACTGAAGCGAGGCTATACCTTTTCTCAGTAAGCGTAAGGACATCGTAATGGAGCCCAGTCCATTAACTCCCCAATCACTTGGGCACCGTTCTGTGACCTATTTTTGGAAGCTGTTTAGAATCTCATTTTACAAAGTTTGAGACATCATGGGGTGAATGTCCTGGACACATGGCTTCCCTACTGAAAACCCTTGGTCCCTCGGAGCTGTGAAGCATTTGCCCCACTGTGCTTACGTCTGTGTGGAACTCTTCTGCAACTTTATTAACCTGAGATTACCTGGAGATGATCTTTTTCCACTTTTCTTTTTCATCTAAAAAATATAGTTTTGTGACTCTAAAGCAAATCTTACCACTTGCTTCCTCGCCTTTGGATTATCCAGATTGCACTGTACTTTCTTTTGTTTTGAAACATGAAACTGTTACGTTATCTGGTGGAGCAGATGCAAAAACAAATGCAGTTTCATATTGTCTGCTCTTAATGCTTATTTGCTACAAACCTAGAATAGGAGATTGTGATACCTCTATTTTAGAACTTGGTTTTTTTAGCTATTGCTTCTGATAGGCAGGATGTTCTAGTGAATATCATGCCCTGGGACTAAATTTTCATGGGGTTTAATCGGAGGACATCTTAAACATTCAGCATTCTTCTATCCTTGCAGGACTTAGGTACTTTTTTAAATGATATGCAAATACGTTAAAAGGCATATCTTTATATTGTTAGGGTAGTACTCCTTAAATTGGAGCGCATCAGAATCACCTGAGAGGTTTGTTAAAACACAAATTCATGGGTTCCACCCCAGAGAATCAGATTTGGTAGGACTGGGGTGGGGCCCAAGAATCTGCATTTTTACCAAGCTCCCAGGTGAGGGTGATGCCATTTTTGCCATTCAAAGACCACATTACTGATAACGCCAGATTAGACTACACACAGATATATATATATATATATATATATATATATATATATATATATATATATAAAACACATAAGAATGCCTGGATTCCCTCTCCTGCTTTCCCTAACTTTATCTCTTCTCTCCCCTTTAACTGAATTTTCTCTTTCTCTGGCTTTTTAATTCATATGGATTTGCCCCATCATCCCCATGAGTCCAGAATACTTATCAACAAGCATATCTATAAATCAAAAGACTTAATTTTAATAAAGAAGAGAAATAGAGTGGCCAATCCTAAACATAAATTACAGTGGGGTCTAAAGAGAACATTTTATCCCACATGCATCTTCTTCCCTGATATTATTTACAGAGACAGAAGGGAGAAGAAATGTGCCTTGAAAGAATTTTTTGTTCGTTTGTTTATTTGTTTGTTTTTTCAAACAATGCATTCTCACCAGAGGAGTGGTGCTTGTCACTTCCTCAAATAGCAAGCTGTAGAGTTGCATGACAGCATCTATTTCCTAAACAGGGTCTAGCATGCCTTCACTTGCCTGGCATCCCATGGTCCACTTCACAGTTTCTCTGCATACCCCATAACTTTTGTTCGTTATGGTCTCAAGGCCTGTTATTAACCTAACAGCTTCCGCTGTAGCACATGCATGGATGTGAGCTGTTGTGAGCCGTAATTTCTTAGATGACAACAGAAGCATGCTTCATTGGGATAAATTGACAGAAAGATATTGATTCCTTTTGAGTGAACACTCAACTTGGTAGGGAAGTGGGGGGACCAGGACAGGCTAGGCCACAAGTGCTTTAGGAAATTACATCAAATGTTCGGTTGGCTGAAGGCATTCATTCTGTGTAAACCACTTACCAAATTATCATTTCAAAATCAATGGGGAAGCGAAATCCATATGAACTTTTAACAATTGTTTCTTAAATACATTTTCACTAGTGTTTTTCCGAAGTCTGTGCATATATTTGGGTAAAGAGTTACTGCCAAGGTCCTACTTATTGACCAGTTTTTGCTCACATCTGCTTACCTGCCATTACTCCACTGAAGTTTGCTTTATTTATTTGATGGAAACGAGGGTTACAGTGTTCGGTCCTCTAAACCCACAGTGAACAATAAGGACGTTTAATGGACCCACTGCTTTCAGGTCTATACAGACAGGTACACACACACACGCACACGCACACGCACACACAACACACACACATGCACACATGATGGTAGTTGGGTCAGTTAGCAATTTGAACTTGTTCCATCATTGTTGTGAAGTTAGGGTACCAAACTGCAGGAACAGCATTGCCCCTGGTGCATGCTGTAGTACCACAAGCATCTAGTGCTGATTGGAAAAGCATGATATCACCACCCTCCAAGTACGTTCATCATTCACGTGCTGTCTGCCCAGAGCATTTCCTCAGGCAAACAGAGTTAGAGTTCATAGAGAAAAAGACTTTCTGAAATACTGATATTTAAATACAGGTGTCCATACTGTTTATAGCTTGTGCTGATTAATTTTCACCATTATTACAATCGGTTCATTTTGATCAATATTCACTCAAAAAAAAAATGAAGCATGCAGAGTGCCCAAGAACTCTTTTATTGATGTAGAAAGATATAATGAAATGAAATGAGGTTTCCAGTCTTAGGGGATTTTGTTATTATTGTTTTTGTTTTGGCACTTAAATTAGTATATTATCTGTTTGAACTATTTTGAGGGGGTTTGATTTTTGCTTTTATTTTTCTTTTTTAAAGATTTTTGACCTCACTTTTTATAGACATTTATGCCAAATATCTTACCTGTGGTATGGCAAGTATTAGGTTGTCAGAAAAGTCATGACGTATTTTTTCTATGTTTTTCGTTGCAAAAATGCATCAAGACTTTTCCGACAACCCAATAGAAGACAATACAGTTGACATGCACACCATATTACGTACCCTTTAATTTTTGAAGGGAAAAAAGTATACTCTGTATTCTCTCTCTCTAGCTCAGTGAGGGGAACTAACCAAGTACATCCAAATTTGAAGTTGTTTTAAAGTATATTTTAGGGAGAAAGACAGGAAGACAGTGAAACCCTATCTTTGTAACTATAAACATGATATTATAGGTATATTTTGTTTTAGAAATTACATACTCTAGTATAGTAGTGTGTAACACCAGCAAGGTGAGAAACTTCAACCTAAATGGAGTTATTTTCTCATCATAGCATCAACGAGATCCTCGACTGAATGAAATTTTATTCCCATTTTATGATGTTAAAAGGGCAATGCAGATCATTGAGATGTATGAGCCTGATGAAGACTTAAAGAAAAAAGGTAACAAAAGTGAAAAAAAGATAAATTTTCTTTATTAAAAATAAAAGCAAGAATGTATGCAACTTTTAAAGTCCTCCGATTTTTAGTTAAAAGTATCTTTAAATGCCTTGGAACTCCCTAGAGCCAAGGATTGGTAACTGATTTTTTTTTCTTGCTCTAAGTTGGTATAAATTTTATCTTACATCAAAATTTGTCCATGCTGCCTGAGGAAAAATGTTCAATTTATTGTATTACTAAACCCATTATAGTGGTATTTCCCTCCACGTACTTTCTTATATTAGATCTTCAGTATTGCATAATGCTTAAAATGTAAAAATGCCAAATAGAATCTCTGTTTGCAATCTTTGAAAAGAATTTCATTGCCTATAAAAATTTACACCTGGATTTTCTCCCTTTCATTTTGGCAAGCCCAGTAAATATAGTACATTATTTGATGAGCCTCCTCACCCATCATTTCATCTCTGGTGGTATGGAAGATACATGTAATTGATATGAAATTAAACAGTCAGGAGTCAATTTAACAAATTGTTGGGGTTTTAGAACCTTTGCTCCTTTCAATGAAACTTTGAAACAGTGCGTTGTCCATTCCAATGTTTGACAAAGGAAAGGCATAGAGAGAAAATTTCACATCAGTCCCACAGTGGTGGGAAGTAAGATGCTAATATACCTGGCCGGGAGTGCCGGGAGCTACCTGAGCTAGAGCCTCTGGCCTGTGTCTCAGTGGTGAGAGAAAGAAGAGCTAAGTTCAAGTTCTGTCTGTCCCACGTGTCCATGAATATCGTGGTTGCTGCAGTTTCCTCCTCTTCAGAATAAGGGTTCTTTTTTTTTTTTTAATTTTATATCTCAGTGAATGTGGCTCAAAGGTTTCTATATTCTCTGGACCCACACAGAACCTGTTTATAAGCATGCTTGGCCCACCATATGGCGTGACTTCATCCTTGATATTTTCCCAAGTCCAGCAGAGTTTTCCCTGGTGAATAGCCCTGCAAGAACTCTTTCTGCTAGGGCCTCAAATACCTATTTTCAGCAAGACTGCTTCATTACTTACCGCTCTGTCAATATTCTGAGTATCGCACTTGATTCCACATTGCATGTGATTCGAGTGAAGGGAGAAGTGGCTCAATAGAAAGTCTAGCACTTTGCAGTGTTTGATTTGATTCTTGTTGCTACCCTGCCACTGTGTGTTACCTTGAGCAAGGAACTATATTCCTGGGCCTCCATGTCCCTGCTTATAAGATGGTGGGGTTCATACAGTCATTCAACTAGTATTTCTCTCCCTACCTTCATTCCTTAGAGTTTGTAGAGGGCTGGCTGTGTGCCGATCACTGTGCTGGATACTGGGGAGTGAAAATTGAGTAAGGCAGCAGTGATCTGTTGAAAGAGAAAGACATATGCCTCAGCAGTTCCTTAGCAATGTGTTAGATGTTATGATGATAGAGGTATAGCGTTATTTCTAAAGTCCTTCCAGATCCTAAACATCTATGAAATTACCATTGACATGTCTAAAAAGCACAGCTTCACTGTTACACTGATGATGGAAAATTTTGAAGTCTGTCATTATCAAGTATAAGTGAAAATGTGGTGCACAAGCTGCCAACTTCTGGTGGGCATAAATTGGCACAAACAACCACCTTAATGAATATTTTGGCAATAGTTAGTACAGTGGAAAATATACCTCTCCTACAGCCCAGCCTTTCCAGTTCCAGGCATGTGCCCCAGAGAATTTCTCATGTATTTCCCAACTCTGGATGTCAGAGTGGCCCAGACTCATCCCTCAGACCTCTGCTCCATTTACCACTCACTCCTTAGGTGAGCTCACGCAGGCCAATGGCTGTAAGTTTCTTCTATACACACATGACTTTCTAATTAAACTCTCCACTCCTAACCTCTAACTCAAACTACAGACCTATCAGACCTGTAGTAGAACTCTCCATTTGAATGTAGAATGGGCATCTCGATTGTGTGTGTACATTATGTTTTGATTCTCCTTGCCCACAGATCTGTTCCTTTCTCAGCCTAGAAAGTGGTACCATTATTCACCCAGTTTTTCAAGCCAAAACTCTTGGAATCATCCTCAACTTGTGTTGCTCTTTCATATCACCTCTAATCCATCAGCAAAACCGGCAAGATCTATCCTACAAATAAATTCTGAATAAATAATTTCTCGTCATCATTACCTTTACCCGACTATCCAAGCCTACATCATCTCTCCCTGGACAATGCCAGTTGACTTCTAACTAGCTTTCTCCTTTCTACTCACTGCCTTACAATTAATGCCCCACACAGTGGCCAGAGTAAACCTTTAAAACCAAATTGAATCATGTTACTCTACCCTTCAAAATCCTCCAAAGGCTTCCCAGCATGCTTAGAATAAAATCCAAAGTACTTAGGGAAGACAGAAGTCCAACTGATACAGCCTTTGGCTGTCTCTCCAACTTCATTTCCATCTAGTTTTCCCTCCATCACCACTCCTGCATCAAGATCTTTGCACTTGCTGATCCCTCTACCTGGGATGGAGGGATGGGTTGCCCCAGGTGTGCGTGTGGCTTGCTCCCATGCATGAATGTGACAACCTCAGAACAGCTTTTTGTGACCACATATCTAACACAGCAGCTTGGTCATTCCCTATCACTTTTATTCCCTGCTTTCTATCTCCTTCTAACACTTCCACAACATTGTATTATACTTATCTTTGTGTGTTAACTTATTTGTTATTTTGCCCATAATATGAGTTTAATGAAGTCAGGGCTTTCCTGTTTCTTCTATCTATCTGTCTATCTCAGTGCCTCAAAAATCACTTGCTCTTAGAATAAATGTGTGGAGATAGAGGACACAAATTTTTATTATTGTACTTATAATTAGAAATGATCTAAGTGTCCATCAACAGGATAATGGATAATAAACTGTGATATATTGATATATGGACGACTATACATTCTATATACTACATACTACTATACATTATTCAGTGAAAAATAAATGAACAAGAGGTACTTATATTAACTGGATAAGTGCCAAGAAAATATAGAGCAGAAATAGCAAGTTGCAAATGCAGGTCATGGGATATCTTTTATATAAATTTTAAAATATTCAAAACTGCCTATTGTTTGGATAAATGCATGTGTATTAATGTTACAAAACCATCTGGTGAATGTTAAACACAAAAACTAGGGTAGTGGTTGTCTCCACTGGAGTGGAGAGATGGAACTGAGGGTGGGGAACCCAGGGTGCTGCCAAGGAATCTGTAGTTATGTATTCCTTTCAAAAATGTTGAGCAAATATCGTAAAATGTTAAAATCTGGCACAACTGTGGTGGAGGTTTATGGCTATTATATTTCTTATGCTATTATCTGTATTTTTCTGAATCCTTAAAATCTGTTCATAACTTGCAAATGCTTAAATAAAAACAAAAGCTGAAGCTGTTGATGACTGATAGGATAGGAGAAGATCCAGAAATATTGGTCGCCTCTCCTGCAGTTACCTTGGGCTTTGTCCTCAGGTCAGAACGGTGTGACTGAAATGAACAGGGGCTCTTTGGACCGTGTTTCAGTGACCTTTGCAATCTCTTCTCACCAGTTCCATACCCTGCCTTTTAGATACAATAGGAAAGCTGAATTGTTCAAATTCAGAGAGACCACTAATCCCTTCTCCAATCTGGGGAGAACAATAATGCCTCACCGTTGTATGTATCCCAGTTTTTTGAGAGCACCTCTTACCATCATGACAGTCCTGGAAAGCAGGTGCTGCCGGTATTTCCCCCCCATTTCTCAGAGGAAGCTGAGACCCAGGAGCATAAGGAATGAGTGGCAGGTGCAGAACGAGACCATGTCCCCTTGGCCCCTGGTCACCACAGCTTCTGGTGCTATGCTTCTGAAATTGGGGAACTGTGTGCTCCCCCATCATGTACATAAAAGCTGAATGCTACCCCATTGTGGAATGCATTGGGTTACTTATAATGTGCAACTATGTTATTTTGTCCAAGTTCTGAAAAATGATGCCTCTTGGGAAAGAGACTATGAAGACGTTTGCACTCCTCCTGTTCAAGCTGCCTCAGCTGCCATGAAAAAACATGAGATATGTATCTTTAGAGCCACAGGTCTACTAAGATATTCTTTGTTTCCCTAGGCCTTATATCAAGTGATGGGTTTTGCAGATATCTGATGTCAGATGAAAATGCCCCCGTCTTCCTAGATCGTTTAGAACTTTACCAAGAAATGGACCATCCTCTAGCTCACTACTTCATCAGTTCTTCCCACAACACCTATCTCACTGGCCGACAATTTGGCGGGAAGTCTTCGGTAGAAATGTACAGACAGGTTCTCCTGGCTGGGTGCAGGTCAGAAACTCAAGATGGCTGTTGTTTTATTTGTATATGATGTCTCTTTACTTTTCTCTGAAAAAAAGGAAGTAATAGTCAAAATTGGTCCTTCTCTTAAACTATGATGGTCATTTAACCTTGAGAAAGATAGGACAGTGTCTATTCCAGAACAGTCTAGAATCCTACTGTGGGTAAAAAGATATTTTTTACTGTAAATTTGAAATATCCTCCAAAAAATGCATATTTTAAGAAGTCATACTAAGCTTCCTATTGGTCATAGATAGACATTTGCAAATTTAGCTTTAGCTTTACTTAATGTTAAAAGTTCTTAAATTTTCATTTTCTGAGAATAAAGACTATTGAAAATTGCTTTTCTTTTGCAGAAATTGGCAAAGGTTTAAAATATGACAAAAATGTTGAAAGTGAAAAATAACAAATGTAATTTCATTATGATTTTTTTCTTGGTTATCAATAACCAATACTTTATTTTTTTAACCCACTATTTTTTTTAAGCATGAAAATACTTTAAAAGAAATCAACTACATCATGACTTCTGTCTCTAAATACTTGACTATGAATCACTGAAACAATGAGAATGTTTTCCTTTATGGCCTAAGTAACATCATACCACCTTAAAAAATTATTCCTTAACATTATCTAAAACCTAGCCCATATTCAAATTTCCCCAGTTGTCCCCAACTTGTCCTTTATTGTGGCTATGTCACAACCAGGATATCATCCAGAACCACACTGGCTGTGATATCTCAGAAGTCTCCTTCAATCTTCGACAGTCCCTTTCAGATGACACCAAACTGATGAAGAGAATAATGAGATTTAAACCTGCATACTACATGAAATAATCATGTTACTTAATTCATTTCATTCTCCACTTCTGTCAGAAAACAACTTATTTTGGTGTCTTTTCTTTTACTTTGTACATACACTGTTTTATTGTAAGTGTTCAATATTACAATTTCACTATGTTTCTAGATGTGTCGAACTTGACTGTTGGGATGGAAAAGGTGAAGACCAAGAACCGATAATAACTCATGGAAAAGCAATGTGTACAGATATCCTTTTTAAGGTAAGTTTTAAAATTATATAGCCATAGGGTTTTCCAAACTTGTGTGGAAATAGAGAGATGGCGTGGAGAAAACAAATTATTCACTTCCTCAAGCATTTTACCTTCAAATTCCTTTCTTCCAGTTCTGAGGAGAAAGTCAAGAAAATGTTTTCTGCACTTGCTATCTTTTTCATGCTACTTTTCCTGCTTTCAAATGCTGACAGTGCTAATATAATGAGGTTTCTCTGGCAGGATGTCCCTGGTTCTACTTATTTTTAAAATGTCTTTCATTTTTTTATTCTTTTTCTTTTTTTTTTTTTCTTACTTACTTTGCATTATTCCTGAAGGACTTCAAAGTGAAATAAAAAGATAAATAGAATACAGGAAATAAAATAGATGACAAATAGTGCCTATAAGGGTAAGAAAATAAGATAGTGAGATTAGAGTTTATAAATGCTTGTCAAGAAGCTCTATAAACTGTCAAGCCATACCACAAGTTTTCTAGAATTCAGCTCAAAAAAAAAAAATGATGATTCACAAAATTTATAAAATACAGATCAGTTGGTCCAGAGAAGCACAGTAACTCCCAGTTCTGATACCAGAGAGAAGTTGGTGGGTTTTTTTTCTTCCCTCCAGGATCCTCATAGAAGGGAATCTAACAGTTTTACAAATAAGCATTTCGGTAATGGCCTTTTGGTGACCTCTATGTATAATTGGAAGGTTGGTTTCTTAGGACATTCCTCAATATGCTCCAATGATAACCTGCCAAATGACAAGTCAAAAATGAAATTCTGTGGTTGGCCAATATGTCAGATACCTGGATCTCTATCAGTTCAGTGTTGTAACTTATTGCAACATCTGGAGCAGTGATTTTCAACCCTGCCTACATGGGGAAAATCACCAGAGGTGGTTTTAAAAACAAATGCCTAGGTTTTATACCCGTAACACGCCATGCGTATCATTTCTCTTAGCCAAGATGTTGGCGAGTGTTGAGCAGCAGTCAATTCAAGATTATGTTCCCTGAGAAGTACCAAGAGCATATTCAAGTGGGAAGCCTTGGGTTTGCACAGCCAGACAGACTGACGGGGAGGGTTGATGTCCTGTTTAGAGGATTATGGAGCCTAGTAAGGAAGCTTAGCTGAAAAGAAGGTTCTTGCCCATCAGCTTGGAGGTGAGCGAAGGAGAACCCACGGGAAGGGCCAAGATTTTCCTCAAGGAGTAATTCTTGGATAGCTCAAGGGGATAATCAAGGTCACAGGCATTTTCATTGGAAGGAAACTATAAGCAAGAATAACTAAAGGACCACCTTCGCCATAAGGATGCTCAATAAAATACTCCAAGATTATGTAACCTAGGGCATCATCATTTCAAACGCACTTCCCTATGTAGCTATTGTAAAATATTTTCCCAATTAACTGAATGATGGGCCTTGCCCTGTAGTTAACTCTAAACCAGTAGGAAGTTGGGGATTTTTACCAAATAGGATGTCCTGGTTGTAGAAGCGTTGGTCTGAGGCCATGACTTCTAAAGCTAAGCAGAGAGCAGGGCCAGTCATCTTATTAAAGAGAGATCATGATGGGGAGGACATTCTCAGCTCATTCAAAGTTGTTTCAAGTGACCAAACTCTCAGTTCAGAGAGGGCCATCCAGAGCACGTCCTGTTTTACCTCATATGTTGCTTGACCAAGGACAACCTCCTCCCTGGTGCCCCCGCTCCGCCTTTCACCACGCTAATACAAAACACGAGATATTGGAAATATCACATAAATTCATGGAAGTCTTCACCGAGTTCATGAGATGTATGTAGCCAAAAACTGATCCCCTGATGCAGAGCAAAGTCAGTAAAGGCTTCCAGCAGTCCTTCTGTCATCACCAACATGTCTCTCCTCGAGGCAGGAGGAGTAGAAGAGTGGTCTGTTGTGATTATTGCTCTGGCAAAAGCTCACCTGCTAACAAGAAGGTGCACTGGTCTTGGCAGATTACTGAGCAAGGAAATAGCCTGCCATGTAGGTGAAATGTCTTGTCAGTGAATAGCACCATAATGTTGGAGAGGTAAAAGATAGCTGTGAAAAAAAAAAATATTCACCATTAACTGTGCCTGGCTCTAACCACAGGGGACTCAGCCTGTGACAGTGTCGAGGTAAATGGGTTCTCCAGGCCTGAATTGCCAGAATTGGCTTTCTGAAAAGCTCAAAGTAATAGTCTGTGATTGCTTTCAGGTGCCTTAAATTTTGTTCTCTTTTCTCTCATTAACACTCTTTTATCTTTAAAGGATGTTATTCAAGCCATCAAGGAAACCGCATTTGTCACATCTGAATATCCTGTAATTCTCTCCTTTGAAAATCACTGCAGGTATAATGATTAATTCTACTCCAAGTCTCTCAGCATTATTTCCTAACCCTCATCCCCCACTCCTGCTCTACTTCTTTTTAAATAACCCAATGGTTTGTTTTGTCTTATGCAACACATAGTCAGTCTTAGGCAGAGAGAGGGAGAGGGAGAGGGAGAGGGAGAGGGAGAGGAAGAAAGAGAGAGAGAGAGGAAGAAAGAGAGAGAAAAAAGAGAAAGAAACGAGAAAGAAAAGAGAAAGAAAGGGAAAGAGAGAAAAATTCAAACCACTACTCCCCCACTTCCTAAAAAAACAAAAACAAAAACCCCAAAGTCATCTTATGTGTTGTAGAAATGCTTCCTCTGAACAAAAGTCAGAGATCAGGACACCTTGCTCAAAATTCCAGTGAGTCGGAAGACTTGGCAGTATATTTAAAATCAGACTTCATGAACTTGAAAGACATTTTTTAATGATGTTTACCAGCTCTTAGTTTGGGGGCAGAATCTCCTTCTTTTTTAAACAATGCTGGTTTAGGTTTGTGGTATGTAACCGTACATCTTACATTAATATCAAGGGGACAATCATGCATTCTGTCGAGTGGGAGTTTTTAATTGCCTAGGAATGAGTGTTTCTTATTCTTGGACAGTTAATGGATGTTTGAATTTACAAATGCCAGTTCTTTCTCTCCAGCAAATATCAACAGTACAAGATGTCCAAATATTGCGAAGATCTATTTGGAGACCTCCTGTTGAAACAAGCTCTTGAATCACATCCAGTAGGTATTTTTAGCTAACCATATTTCTAACGTGAAGGGATTTGTTTTGAAATTCATTTCTAAGGGGTCAAGTAGTTCTGGAGGACTAATGCTAAAGATCTTCACATTTATTTAAATTCATTGGTACGGAAAGCTTTCACTGTGCTTCAGAGAGATGTGTAGAGAGAGACATAAAATAAACATTGGGTTCAGTTTAGTTCGGAAGATCTTGGAGTCTTTATGGTTTCTGAGATCTCCTAAAATTTCATAAAGTTCCCACTGGCCAAGTGTCTAGACTCCACAGTCATTCTCAACTTCAGTTACATGTAGAACCACCTGGAGAAACTGTTAAAAATACCCCTGCCAGGGACCCACTCAGAGATTCTGATTTAATTGTTCCAAGTGTTTTAAAAGCTCTCCAGGTGAATCAAATGGGCACTCAGGGTCCAGCACCCATGGGAGCCTGTTGCTACAGGAAGTTCACATATTAAAGTCACTGAAGCCTGAGTTCAAGTTTCCAACTCCCAAATAAATAGTGGGGCAATGTTATATGTACGTTTTTTGAGCTTCAGTTTTACACCTGCTAATTCCTTCATCAAGCAAAGACTTTTTAACCTGTGGCCCACAGATAGGCTTTGTAGGGTCTGTGAACTCATTCTCATTGCATACAATTTTTTTTGTATACAAAATTCCAGAGAGTTCATCTCATTTTTCCAAAGATCCATGACCCCAAAGGGTTAAGATCCACTGTCAAAGATGTTATGAGTCGCAAGACAGCTAATGGAATTAAAGTAATAGAACACTGTGCAGTAGGAAAACATTTTGCCCCATTATTGACAAGCAGCTGATGGGCCCAAACATGGTAGACTGAGGTGGCGGTAGAACGTTACACTGACTGACATGAAGGAAGGTGCTTTGTGTTACCTGTGAACACATCACGCAGTTGAACAATGTGTTTTTCAGAAGTCATCTGTGGGAGCTGAAAAAATATAAGAGACAAGGATATTTTCCTCCTTTGCACCCACCCCTGATTCTCTTCAGTTTATGGAAGCCATAGCTGCAGACACCCTGTCCATGTCCACACAGCACTTTCTGTTTCCCCGTGTACTGCCCTGACTTTCAGCTGACTGCCAGTGCCTGCAGCTTTTCCCCTGGTCACTGGAGCCTGCCCTGCCCACATATGAAAGAAAGGCCAGAAGGGCCAGAGAATGAACACCCCCACCCCATGCTCCCTCACTCCTCAGGAGGGGTAACTCTGAGCATGTGTTCTCCGCAGTCCCCCAGGTTTCCCCAGCAGGACTGCACTCCAGTTGCCCACAGTGATAACTTGCCTGATTAACACACCATTGAGTGGCTGCCTGTCTTCTTTTTATCACTTTCTTACTCCTCTTGGAGTTTCCTGGGGTGTCCTCCCAAACAAACTACAACGGATGCACTAATCTTTACCTCAAAGACTGATTTGAAGGGAACCCAAACTGAGAAACATCCCTGATTTTTTTATTGTATATTTTTTCACCTAGGCCCTCTGTTTATTTTTTTTTTGGCTGTGCTAAGGTGCTTGCTTTTGTGGAAAGACCCCTGTATTCTTTGTGAAGTGATATGCACATACATGAATGGTGTTATGGGAAGCATAGGTAATATAAGTGAGAGTAAGGCCTCCCTGAACTAAAAAGCTTTCAGTCTTGGAGGACGGGAGGGAGTGCACAGGACACAAATGTAAAAACATAACCAAAGAAAAGTTGGCCTATGATGTGTTAAATATTTATTAGAGATAGTGAGGTTCAAGAGAGATCACTCGGGAATGGACCAGTTACAACAGCCTTCCCAAAGGAAGCAAAATTTCAGCAAGGGGTTTCGTTTGAGGCAGCACAGACGTAGGAATGTACAGTGCCTTGCATGTAATAAGTAGTATAAAATTAGTTTTGAAAATGAATGCATGCCCGTAAGGGGTAGATGGGTAACTGAGTGGATGAGTGGTGGGTTGGTGGGGGGATGAGTAGATGGATGGATGGGGAAATAGGGAATGGATGACTAGATATGGCACACTTATATGAATCAGAGGTAATAGAAGAAAGACATTTCCTTTGCAGACATAAATCCAAACAAATGAAACCATAGTAGAAGTCAGGTTTCAGTAATTAGGACCACTCCCTTCTTGATTCCTTTATTGAACCAACAAAACCACAGTCCCAAGTCTTGAGGTCAGATCAGCCTACAGGCTTACTGTACAGCCCCACACTTGGGAGGATCAGGGGAGACTCCTGACTTATGGTTGGGAAAGCCAGTTCTGACCCCAGCTGGCATAATGATCCTTTTTACTTGACCAGATTCTTAAAAAGAGCAAAGCCTGAGGTTGAACAGGAGCCCCGCCCACAACACCATCCCAGGTCAGACCCAGCCCCACTAGGGATAGTGGAGCAGCTCTGCACACCCTGGAGACTGTGTGGATGTCAAGCCTGCCACAATAGTATAAGGCAAAGTCGGATACTGCAGGCTAATTTTGAGTTGGGGAATGAAAACGTAAAACTGTGCTGACTGCCATCTAGTGGACGTGAGTTGTATAACTCCCCGGCCTCCTTGCTTATTCAGGGCTGGGGATGAGAATGGAGAAGCACAACCCGTCATTAATTCAGCCTTTTCCGTTTCTTTCTAGCTCGAACCAGGCAGGCCCTTGCCATCCCCCAATGACCTCAAAAGAAAAATACTCATCAAAAATAAACGGCTGAAACCTGAGGTTGAACAAAGTAAGTCAAATACATACATCTGTGTTGGAAACGTACATACACTGTGTGTTTGGACAGTTCAGCTCCATACAATGAAATATATTTTAAAAACACTGATTTGGGGGGGTGGGGGGAGGGCATAGTAGTGATGTTACATATACTTCTCAGAGCAAAGTTGCCATGTTTACATTTAAATTTAGTTTCTGCATCGGTTCATATCTGCAGTGGGAAAAGTATATTCATATAACAGAATTTGAAGGGATCCCAAAAAGAAGTGAGAAGAAAGTAAAAGAGACATTTTAGAAATTATCAAGATATAAGGAACTAGCATTTTATCATTATATACTCTCTAAACTCCTCTTATAAAGTTTTCTTTTGCAGTTTGCCTGTATGATAAATACATATCTAGGGATCCTAGGTAGATATAACAGTGTGAATATGTATATGTGTGTGTAGAGAGAGATTGAGAGAGAAATGATTTTATATAGACGTTTTACCCTGTATTTTCCTAGAACATTTTCTTTGAAAATATTTTCTTTCAACAAATCTCAGTTCAATAAATTAGTAGCATCATATGTTGGTATGATTGCATTGTATTTTTCCCTAGATATTCTAAATTAAAAGTGATAATTATATTTATTGTAGTTTGCTATTGCAAAAGCAGTTATGCCATAGGAAAATGAAAACACCAAAAAATATAAGAAACTAATAAAATAGACCTAAATAATATTTTTTACACAAGATACCTGTACTCTAGACACATGTACACATGAGCACATGTTTAGACATATACATTTTTAACAAAATTGGGATCATGTTAAATGTACTAATTTTTTATTCTTTTTAAAGCAACCAATTAAATGTACTTACATGCAGAAGGATATAAATCTGCATCTTAACTTTAATTCTAATGTGTGAAACACTACAAGGTCAGACAATTAAGTTCACGAGCTTGTTGCTAACCTTTTTTGATATCAGAGGGATTATTCATTATGAATTTGTACCAACTGGACAAACAATTAACCAAGTTTACTATTTGGAAGTGCTGAAAACGCTGCGTGAAAAAGTTAGATGAAAATGACCTGAACTTTTCGCCAACAATTCATGGCTCTTGCATCACGACAATGCACCAGCTCACACAGCACTGTCTGTGAGGGAGTTTTNCTGAACTTTTCGCCAACAATTCATGGCTCTTGCATCACGACAATGCACCAGCTCACACAGCACTGTCTGTGAGGGAGTTTTTAGCCAGTAAACAAATAACTGTATTGCAACACCCTCCCTACTCACCTGATCTGGCCCCCAATGACTTCTTTCTTTACCCGAAGATAAAGGAAATATTGAATAGAAGACATTTTAATGACATTCAGGACATCAAGGGTAATATGACGACAACTCTTTTGGCCATTCCAGAAAAAGAGTCCCAAATTGCTTTGAAGGGTGGACTAGGCCCTGGCATCGGTCGGTGCATAGCTTCCCAAGGGGAGTATATCGAAGGTGACCATAGTGATATTCAGCAATGAAGTACATAGCACTTTTTTTAGGACGAGTTCGCAAACTTAATTGTCTGAACTCATATACAGCATTTATTATGTGGAATATGGTATAATTTGACCAGTCCCAAGGTAATGGACTTCCATTACTATGAAAACAACAACGATAAACCTATCTGAATATTCATTTTGTGCATTTGTACAGCCTTCTCCTTGGACTCAATTGGTATCATTAGAGTTGGCTGGCCAAAGCATATACACATTTTTTATTGGGCTGGATCTTGTTATACTGCCTTTCAGAAAACTTGTACCAATTTATACTCTGACTGTAATATACGCGACTGCCTGTTTCCTAACAGTATTCTTAATGCTGGCTGTTGGCCATTTTTATATGTTGCCCAATAATAGAAGAAACATGGTACTTTAATTTTTTATTTGTACCTCTTTGATAACAAGTTTCTTATAATTATTTATGATTTGCTCCCTTTTTTCCATTTTTTAAATTTTTTCATTTGTCTTTATCTTACTGACTTACAAAAGTTTTTTATATATTAGGATAATAACCCTGGTTGTATCAGTTACAAATATTTTTTCCTGAAGTTTTGTCAGTCTCCAATGAGCATGTTTCTTTTCTGTCACTTCACCTTAATTGTCCCCCAAATTATGGGCTTTCGTTATTAAGACTTAAATCCTTCACAATGATGGAGCCCCCCTCTCAAACCAATGGCCACAAGTTTGAGCAATTAGCCCGTGTTCCGGTAGTTCTTCATAATGTGTAGATAAGGTGGTTGTTTCACGTTCCTTAAGTTCAGTACCAGGCCTGGGTGAGACAGTGGCCTTAGGAACGTCACAATAGGGGCCACAACAATATGTTTCCTGGCAATCTGAAAGCCCAGGTTTTCTAAGTGACCTAATATTTGTCACCTTCTCCTTCCTGTTTGTTTTTAATAACAGAGCAGCTTGAAGCTTTGAAAAGCATGATGGAAGCTGGAGAAACCGCTGCCCCAGTTAACATCTTAGAGGATGATAACGAAGAGGAAGTAGAAAGTGGTGAGTTGTGTTTGTGTCTTATTGGTTTACATGTCATGAAAATATTAAAAAAAAAAATAAGAATAACATGAATTCGTCTCAGTGGGCCCATTTATATCATGTGACATTTTCATTTTTAATAGGTATGTATTCATGCACCAAACTTAATCTTTGGGTATTTCTTGGTATTTTTCCAAATAGGATTATTTCCATTTTACCTGGGTGCTAGAGTTTAGTGACTTAGTCATCTCTCTTCCTGTTGTACATTTGGCTATTCAGCAGAAATTCACAACCAGAGACTCCCTGAAGCACTTACTATAGAAGGCAGGGGTTGGAATAAAAAGACTATTTTACAATTCCTTCCTATAAACAAAAACACAAACTTTAGTGTCATTAGTGATGACCATAGTAAGGCAAGTTAAAAAGAAAGGAACGTGGGTAGAGACCCTCACGTCAATGATTGGTTTGTGTACACACATAAAAGGAACTGGAAACTCAAAGCCAGTATTAAAATTTCCAGTTTAAATTCGTTCACATAACCAGCTGACCAGAGCTCTCTATATAGATAGATAATTTTAACAAAGGCAACCTTGCTTAAAATATTCAAATATTTGCTATTAGCTTCTATTTTACCTTGGCCATATAGCCACAATCATCATGTTTCATTTTAAATGGGTCTTTTGAGAAGTTTGGAATGTTTTTAGCAAATTATTTGCTTATTATTTATCATGAGAAATAATTAACAAAATGATTTGGACTTGCATTGTGTGTCTATTGGTTACACAGTGCCTTGAATTTATATGGTGGCTTTGGGCTAAATGATTTAGAAATATTTGTAGAAACTCTCTTCACTTGTTGCATAAATATCTGAAATAATACAAGAGTAGATTTTAGGAAATTTTGATATTATAGGTAAGAAGCCTGAATGCTGTGATAATTAACTCATCTTATTTACAACCCCTTAATAAAGACTTCTGACTACAGTACAGACTTCATAACCATGGTTTATGTTGCATGTGCAAACCACGGGTTCAACTCCACTCCCAGAGAAAAATCATACTGACTTACTTTTATATGTTTTAGATGGCAGGTTGACCTAGGAGGCCAAACATTCCTGATATTATTTAATCATGCCTGTTATGGTTATCTATTACTATGTAACAAATCACCCCAAAATTTAGAGGCTTAAACAACACTTTTATTTTTTTCATAGTTCTCTGGATTGTCTGGGCTCGGGTTGGTGTTTCTCCCTTAGCTTTCTCATGCAATGGGCAGCAGATGACATCTGGGACTGGAGTCACCTGAAGGCTCAGTTGGACCAGTTGTCCAAGATGGGTCACTGACATGGCTGGCAGTTGTCTGCTGGGAGCTTAGCTGGGCCTACTGACCAGAGCACCCCCATGTGGCCTCTCCTTGTGGTTTGGGCTTCTCACAGCATGGTGGCCACATTCCTAGATGAAGTATCTCAAGAGCCAATGATCCAGGAAGCAGAAAGGTGCTAAGATTTAAGAGCTGTGCCTGGAGCTGGGACAGCACTACTTCTTCTCTGTTATTCATCAAACCAGTCTTAGGGCCCGCCCAAATTTGAAGAGGTTGGTGAGAAGCAAGATCACGTTGTAGAAGAAAAGTGGAAGGGCAGATGTTTTTGCAGCTGTCTTTGGAAAATGCAGTCTGCCCCAATGCCTGTTATTTTACATTTTTTTTTGCAAATAATAAACTAAACAAGATTTAAGAATAAAGTATTCAAAGGAATATATTTCAAAAGGATAGTAAAATACTTTTAAATTTGAAAAGATAAATATTAGGTGAAAACAGTTCTTTAGCTTATGTTTCATAGATGGTATTCAAAAACTTGAAGGCATCACTAGATACTAGATACCAGTAAAAAAATCTGCAGAATAATGGAATAAATTGACAAGAAAAAAAATTATAATAACTACCCTTGTACCAACTGTGAATTAAGCAGTTTACTGCCTCGTCTGATCTTTACACAGCCTGATGAAGTAAGTATCATTACACTCATTTTTCAAATGACGAAACTGAAGCTTAAAGGGGTAACATATTTTGCACATGATCTGCCAGCTGGTAAGCAGTGCAACTAAGATTCAATCCTAGAATTGCCTTGACGCCCTTTGTGTCTTACAATATTGCCCTTCTAAACACAGATATGCAAGATCATTGTTAAAAAATGTTTTAGGGCCAGCCGAGTGGCTCGTTGGTTAAGAGTTGGCTGGGACACCAGCTCTAAGCAGCAGGACCGCCGTTTCGGATCCCACATGAGGGCCAGTGACACTGCGCCCTCTACAGCTAAGATGGTGAACAACAGCTCAACCTGGAGCTGGGCTGCCGTGAGTTGCCAGCGACGGCGTAGGCCACAGTGAAGCTACAGTGGGCCATAAGCTACCACGACTGGCTGGCAGCTGGCAGCCGGCAGCTGGTGTGAGCTGCCAAGAGCTGCCATGAGCAGCCGTCCAATGGCCAGCCACTGATCTGCCTCACCCGGGAAGAGCGCAAGGATCACAACACCAACATGGGCCACTGAAGCAATGTCCTCCACAGCTAGACTGAAGAACAAAAGAATAGCAACTTGTCTGTTCCCCTTCCCTGATTCCCCAATAAAATCTTTAAAAAAAAAAATGTTTTAAAGGAAAAGAATATAACTGATGAAAGTCACAGATGTGATATTTTCTGAGCACACATGCTAATCTAAAATGAGGGTCAGTGTGATTCCACTTATCATCCTTAAGGATACTTTCCCAAATTTTATGAAGATGTTCATTATTCCTACAGACAAAAAATGTATACCTCTAGTAGCTCTCATGTTAGTTCAAAATATACTTGAGATGTGGGTTACATTTTAACAGAAATAATCATGTGAGATAGTATAAATGTAGGAATAACTGAGCGGACAGAACCAGCCACTTGAATTTCTCTTTAAAGGCATAGAGGTTTCCGCTATACCGGTTATGCATTTGATTCTTGGGTTTCCTCAGTAACACTTGGCTTTAGTTCTGGGGTACCAGTTGGTTGTAATTACCCTGGCATCACAGTATGATCCAGGAATGCTGTACATGAATGACTAGAGTCTCTAATTTAAATACTTTGACACAGCAGGCAAGAGGAAACCAAGCATAGTTCAAGAGGGCAGGTCTGCCTGGAGGCTGTAGAAAATAGAAAAGGCTCTCAGTCAGTGAAGGCATGTGCCCCTTCATTCTCTGGATTCAGATTCAGAAGGACACAGGGCTCCAAGACTGTGAGATCAGCAGTGGGAACACCAGAATTGTATGTGGTTGTGGGTGTGTCTGTGCATACTTGCACACTCAAGAGAGGAAAACATTCATTCATACGA